CACTCTGTAAGTATTGGTGTTGTTCTTGTCTAATATCAACACTCTATAAGTAATGGTGTTGTTCTTGTCTAATATCAACACTCTATAAGTAATGGTGTTGTTCTTGTCTAATATCAACATTCTGTAAGTAATGGTGTTGTTCTTGTCTAATATCAACAATCTGTAAGTATTGGTGTTGTTCTTATCTAATATCACCATTCTGTAAGTAATGGTGTTGTTCTTGTCTAATATCTACATTCTGTAAGTATTGATGTTGTTCTTATCTAATATCAACATTCTGTAAGTAACGATGTTGTTCTTATCTTATATCAACACTCTATAAGAAAATGGGCTGGTTTGGTCTGAAACCTTAAGCAGTTATTTTATCTTACATTTTTGTTCATTTTGTTTCTATGCTACCTTTCAAGTAACAATTCAATAAAATAGTTTCAATGTTTATTTTAATCGCAAACATTTTACATATTACGTTTTTACCAAATTCCTCTATTACCTACTAATACATCGTCAAAAAAATGATGCAAGATTCAAATTACTCTTGATATAATTGGTTAACTAGATTTCATGCTCTTGTTTTAATTGGCTAGCTAAACGTCCTGCTCTTGATATAATTGGTTAACTAGATTTCATGCTCTTGTTTTAATTGGCTAGCTAAACTTCCTGCTCTTGATGTAATCGGTTAACTAGATTTCATGCTCTTGTTTTAATTGGCTAGCTAAACTTCCTGCTCTTGATATAATCGGTTAACTAGATTTCCAGTACTTATAAGAATTTATCAAAATTAATGCGGAGAAGGAAACGTTTATGAATCTTATTTTTAAGTAAGAAGTTTCTTTTCTATAGTTTTTCTATGAACTTAAAAATGTAAGCTAAGAATAATGTATAACAATATGTTAACCACACTATATATATCCATTATTAGATAGTGATAAGGCTTTCTATGTTAACCATGCTATATACGTATATATCCATTATCAGATAGTGATAAGGCTTTCTATGTTAACCACACTATATATCCATTATTAAATGGTGATAAGGCTTTCTATGTTAACCACACTATATATCCATTATTAAATGGTGATAAGGCTTTCTATGTTAACCACACTATATATCCATTATTAAATGGTGATAAGGCTTTCTATGTTAACCATGCTATATATCCATTATTAAATGGTGATAAGGCTTTCTATGTTAACCATGCTATATATTCATTATCAGATAGTGGTAAGGCTTTCTATGTTAACCATGCTATACATCCATTATCAGATAGTGGTAAGGCTTTCTATGTTAACCATGCTATATATCCATTATCAGATAGTGATAAGGCTTTCTATGTTAACCATGCTATATATCCATTATTAGATAGTGATAAGGCTTTCTATGTTAACCATGCTATATATATCCATTATCAGATAGTGATAAGGCTTTCTATGTTAACCATACTATATATCCATTATCAGATAGTGATAAGGCTTTCTATGTTAACCATGCTATATATCCATTATCAGATAGTGGTAAGGCTTTCTATGTTAACCATGCTATATATCCATTATCAGATAGTGGTAAGGCTTTCTATGTTAACCACACTATATATCCATTATTAGATAGTGATAAGGCTTTCTATGTTTAAGGCCTTAAGAAAGAACCTGGAAGTACTGTGTAAGTGCCACGGTGTTTCCGGTTCCTGTTCTGTGAAAGTATGCTGGAGACGGCTGAAACCGTTCAGGTTTGTTGGTGATTGGCTGTCCAAGAGGTATGACGGTGCTACCCACGTCAAGACAGTCCAGAAGAGGAGAAAACTCCGGTTAAGACCCTTTAAAAATTACATCAAACAGCCCAGCAAGAAGGATTTAGTTTATTTTGACGAATCTCCAGATTATTGCAACAGGAATGATGCGTAAGTTGTTTCTATTTCTGTGCTAAATTTAATTGTGGTCGTCTGTCTGGATTGTTAACTTTAATGTGATATATTTAATTGTGGTCGTCTGTCAGGATTGTTAACTTTAATGTGATATATTTAATTGTGGTCGTCTGTCTGGATTGTTAACTTTAATGTGATATATTTAAATGTGGTCGTCTTTATGGATTGTTAACTGTAATATGATAAATTTAATTGACTGTTTAATGTGATATATTTAAATGTGGTCGTCTGTCTGGATTGTTAACTTTAATGTGATATATTTAATTGTGGTCGTCTGTCTAGATTGTCAACTTTAATGTGATATATTTAATTGTGGTCGTCTGTCTGGATTGTTAACTTTAATGTGACATATTTAATTGTGGTCGTCTTTATGGATTGTTAACTTTAATGTGATATATTTAATTGACTGTTTACTTTAATGTGTATATCACATTAAAGTTAACAATCCTGACAGAAGACCACAATTAAATATATCGTAAGTTGTTTCTATTTCTGTGCTAAATTTAATTGTGGTCGTCTGTCTGGATTGTTAACTTTAATGTGATATATTTAATTGTGGTCGTCTGTCAGGATTGTTAACTTTAATGTGATATATTTAATTGTGGTCGTCTGTCTGGATTGTTAACTTTAATGTGATATATTTAAATGTGGTCGTCTTTATGGATTGTTAACTTTAATGTGACATATTTAATTGTGGTCGTCTGTATGAACTGTTAACTTTAATATGATATATTTAATTGACTGTTTACTTTAATGTGATATATTTAATTGTAGTCTTCTGTCAGGATTGTTAACTTTAATGTGATATATTCAAATGTGGTTGTCTTTATGGATTGTTAACTTTAATATGATATATTTAATTGACTGTTTACTTTAATGTGATATATTTAATTGTGGTCTTCTGTCAGGATTGTTAACTTTAATGTGATATATTCAAATGTGGTTGTCTTTATGGATTGTTAACTTTAATATGATATATTTAATTGACTGTTTACTTTAATATGATATATTTAATTGATTGTTAACGTTAACGCGATTGAAGTTTTGTTTATTCTGTGTTTGATAAGTTTAACATTCTCTGGTCCTGAATAAAAAGAACCAATGATTCAAGCACGTGGTTCATCTAAGACAGAAACCAGCGACCTACACGAGTTAATACATCCATACACAGTAAGTGAAATTTGAAAAAAAAATATACCATGGAATATATACTTACACCCGATTTTCTATATGTTCTTCTAAAAGTAATTCATTAACTCCGAGAAATAATCTTTATTAAACACGTCACGTATTTATATCTGTTGACCAGTTCCTTGTTGGTGAAGACAGTCAGCATTCCTGTACGCTACTAGTATGGTCTCCTGGTAACAAAACAAAACTGAAGCCCACAGCAATATACTTGACACACATCGCGTGTATCAATCATCCTGATCATTAGAGACTTGCTATAAGATGGTATCTTTCTCTGTAGATATCAGACCTTAAGGGTAAAGGTGTTACTACATGTTCAATATCTTTGGTTCCAGTTTCTATGTTAACGAAGTATTTACTTTTCAATTTATCGAAGTGGTCTTGGTTCTTTAACTTCATTTCAATATGTGGCATTTGGCGGTATTGATAGAAGCTTTTCTTCTACAATCAGTAAGTATTTTTTAACTCTAATTCCACAGCCTAGGAATGCTTGGAACGGTGGGTCGCCTGTGTAATCAGAGTAGTTATGGTGTGGACGGCTGCAGACTGATGTGTTGTGGACGAGGCTATCAAACTGTCTTACGTCACGTGGAAGAGAAATGTAAGTGTAAGTTCAAGTGGTGTTGTAAAGTACTGTGTGAAAAGTGTCGTTACATTAGGGAAGACCACTATTGTAATTAAACAGCCGTCCCTCAAAAACAAAGATCTCTCTCGTCTAATAGGAGCGAAGATCGGACCCGTCGTCCCACCAAGCACGAAGAAATAACAAGTGGTCTTCCAAATCGTCCATCGGCGTCGTTTCGAATGAACTGTGTATATCAAGACATTATAGTTTCTGCCTCTCGTGGCTCTGAATGTTTAACAGTAACCAATATTATTCCTCTCTGAACATGAGGATTTCAACCTCTCAACATCTATTGTTTAGTAGTAGTTTCCTAATAATATCTTTATATTAAGTCCGACCCTCTAAACAGGAGGATTTTAACACTCCCAGCTCCTACTGAATAGCAGTACTTTGCGAATAAGATCTTTATATTAAGTCCGACCCTCTAAACAGGAGGATTTTAACACTCCCAGCTCCTACTGAATAGCAGTACTTTGCGAATAAGATCTTTATATTAAGTCCGACCCTCTAAACAGGAGGATTTTAACACTCCCAGCTCCTACTGAATAGCAGTACTTTGCGAATAAGATCCTTATATTAAGTCCGACCCTCTAAACAGGAGGATATCAACACTCCCAGCTCCTACTGAATAGCAGTACTTTGCGAATAAGATCCTTATATTAAGTCCGACCCTCTAAACAGGAGGATATCAACACTCCCAGCTCCTACTGAATAGCAGTACTTTGCGAATAAG